CTTCTGCTGGAACGTTCAAGGATGTGGGCATCCCGGCTTCCTAAATGTTGTTTGTCAATACATCCGTGATAATAAACCGGATATAATTGGTTTTGTTGAGCCACGTATCAATGGCAGTCGTGCTGATTCTGTCATTGCAGCTCTAGGATTTCCAAATTCCCACATGGTTGAAGTGGCATGTTTCTCGGGAGGCATCTGGTTATGCTGGTATGACATTGTTTCTATTGAAATTCTCCATAATCACTTTCAATATATACATTGCCGTATCAACCAAAACAGGATGGTTCTTTGATGCTTGCTTCAGTTTTTTATGCAAGTCTGAATGCCACTAAACGAAGGAACTTATGGGCTCAACTTCGTTGCCTTGCGACTGAGATACGACAGCCGTGGATCCTTCTTGGTGACTTCAACGTAACCTTATCTTCGTCTGATAGAAAAGGTGGTTCAAGTTCTACCCTCCCCTGCAAGGACTTCCAAGATATTCTTTTTTATATTGATATCCGGGACATGGGATTTCATGGTCCCACTTTTACTTGGTCCCGAGGTCAGAATTTTGCTCGGCTCGATAGGGTACTGTGTAACAATTATTGGGATGAGGCCTACCCAGAATCTTTGGTGCATCACCTCCTCAGAGTTCACTCCGATCACCGGCCTTTATTACTTGAGATAGGCACTTCTATAAAAAATTCTGCTACCCACCAATTTCGCTACATCTCAAGCCGGCAATCTCATGAAGATTTCAGGAGAATGGTTAATGAAAATTGGCACCACAATGACATGCTCTCGACTACTATTGTAAACTTCACGGTTGCAGCTGAAAATTGGAATAAGTCGATTTTTGGATACATCGGTGCAAAGAAGCGTATAGTAATGGCTTGGTTAAGGGGTGTTCAGAAAGCCCTCTGTATGCGAAATTCTCCTTATCTCAATAATATTGAATCTGACCTTCTCTGCGATCTAGAATCTCTTCTCGACCAGGAGGAATCTCTGAAGAAGCAAGGTCTAGAGCAGATTGGATAACCTTTGGATACCTTAACACTAAGTATTTTCACCATAAGACGGATCATGGCACCATTCTCAATCAAGAGGTGATTCATTCTATGTGACAATCGAAAAGTAAGAAAGGTTTGATGGCAATCAAAGTAGATATGGAAAAGGCGTTTGACAGGCTACGTTGGGACTTTATCCGAGACTCCCTGAGGCGGGCTTCCCTCCAAAACTATCTCAAATTATTATGCATTGTGTCACCTCTTCCTATTTTCAAGTCCAGTGAAACAATTAGTTGTCCGAATCTTTCAAAACAGAGCGCGGAATTCGTCAAGGTGACCCACTTTTGCCATACATATTTGTTTTGACTATGGAGCGCCTGAGTCATTGTATTTCAGACTCAACCCAAAAAGGTATGTGGGAGCCTTTCTGATTCGTTAAGAACGGTATGCCTTTATCTCATCTGTTTTTTGCAGATGACTTAATTCTGTATGCTAGAGCAAATATCCAAAATGCGAAAACCATCAATTCAATCCTAGATTGCTTCGCCTATTTCTCGGGCCATAAATTCAAAAAGAGGAAAACTACAATTTATTTCTCTCCTAATACTGATGCCACCCTCAAAGATGCAGTTAGTGAAGTTAAGAAATTACTTGGGGGTTCCTGTGCAACATAGTCGAGTAACCTGTGCGGATTATGACTTTATTCTTGAAAAAATGAGAGGTCTCCTGTCTGGTTGGGCTTCTCGATCTTTATCAATTGCCGATCATATCACTCTAGAAAAATATGTCCTTGCTTCAATTCCTATTTACTTTATGCAATCCGCAATGCTTCCAATTCGAGTTTACAACGAAATCGAGAAGTTAATCAGACGCTTTATTTGGGGACCAACTGTCACAGGATCCTCTATTTCCTTGATTAATTGGGAGGAACTCTGTTAGCCGCTGCAGAATTGTGGTTTAGGTCTCCACCGGGTTCATGAGCAGAGCCTTGTGTGACTGAAGGAAACTGGACCTCGGGCTTTGTTCGCTCGGTTGGTTATTACCCTCTGCTCCAAGCGAAATTATGGGGAGTTCTTATCGAATTAAAACTCGCTTGGGACAAAGGCTTTGAACGCGTTATTATTCAATCCGACTGCCTTAATGCAACCAAGTTAATCGAGGGCAACGGTGCGTGCAATACATGAAATGAGAACAAGGCTTGGGCTACCGATATTCAATGGATTCCGAGAGAATGTAATAAGGTGGCAGATGCTCTTACACGACTGACGGGTCACGATTCACTGAATGTCATCCTTTTTTATGCTGCCCCTCCTGGACTACTTGGTTTACTAGAGCCTGATGCGCATCGCCGGTGACGTTTACATAAAAGCAAAATCAAAGATCCATAAGAAGCACCAATGGGGATTGGTTCAAGTGGTAAGCAATTTGATATCGCTTAAGCAATATATAAAATTCGAGTAATTGTGTATGCAGAAAATCTTCGTTGGGAGACTCACCCACCAAAGTCAATTGTGCGACCCGGATCGATCTAGATTAGTCAAGGCTAAGTTTTGGAACTGGACGACATCCAAAAAAATATTAATATATAATATTTTAATATGAAAATATTAATTATTAAAATATTTAATATATATATAATATAATTTTAATAATATTATATTAACATGTACTTATTTATATTATAATAAGCACATTATATATTATTTTTAATTTAATAATGTATAATACATTATTAATATAATTAACATTGTCTATTATTTTTATAAATATAATATTATTAAATTATTTATAATGAATAATATTAATTTATATATTTAATATTAATATAATAATTTAGTATTATGTTTATAAAATACTAATAACTAAAATTAGGGGTGTTCAAACGGTTAATTCGACCACCGATCGAGCTGAATTACCATTAATCGAATTAGTTGAACTTTTTTTCTTTAACCGTTAATCGAACTGATTTTTTTAAAATATTAATTGAACCAAACTTTATTCAATTTATGTAAATCATTTTCTATAAAATTAATTATAGTATATCAAACAATTAGTGAAAAATAATTCACATAATATCATCAAAACACAGTAAAATAGTTTTCGAAAAATGTTTTCTAGAAAATGAATTTTTTTATACGTAAAACAGTTTTAGGTAATTTATTTTATGTAAAATAATTTTCAGGTAATCCATTTTCCATAAGTTATTTTCTAGAAAACTAATTACAGTCTATCAAACAGACCCTTGGTTATTCTATTTGCATAAGTAAAATAATCCAGTTAAATAGTAATTAATGGTAAATACGTATTTCTGTTTTAAGTTCACTATAATCAGAATTAAAACGTGTTAATATCGATATTATTCAAATAAAAAAGATTTAAATTATATAAATCGAATATTCATAATGCCTACTGTTAATAATCAGAATTTGACTTTCTCTAGAAGCCATTTACTTATTCTAGAAATTCATATCTATATATATTCCGCGGTCAACTTTTTTTTTTCTAGAGACTTATTTTTGTTGACATTTAATAAAACTTGGATTAGAAATAGTCGTAAAAAAGAGTCGGCTTCTTAGAAGCTACTCAACCCTTTAATAAAGAATATTTGTTAAAGAAATTTGTCCCTCTCTTTCTTATTTTACTTGAGCCATAAAAGTTAAAAACTGAAGTGGAGAATAGGCCCATTTTTTTTTACTGATGCCGCTTCATCTTAATATATCTTTGAGTAAACTACAGAAATGATCATTGATCTTTGGGTAAGTTTTCGTTTTCTTTATTAAATTTTAAAAATAACAAATTGATGACTAATGTTATCGAATGGTAACAAAATATTCATTAATATTATTAATTTATAATAAAATTGTCACTCAATATTAACAGCTATTACTATAGGTGACGGAAAATTAATGCTACATGCCAATCATTGACTTGGTACAGTGGTACCATTTGACCACAAAATAACCATTTTGATCAATTTTCGTATTATTGTTCCGGATTCTCTCGACTAACTTAGAGATGAGATTATTGGATATAAGAGCATTGATGCTCCTAAATGATCTTCTATATATGTATGTATGCATGTATGTACGAGTGTTTCACCCTTTGAAAACTCACATGCGGAAGGGAATGGATATGATAACATTACATACATATATACATACAGTTGATTTCGGAGCTCCGGGATGTAAGTCGCTTAACGATGGAACAAACTCTATGAATTCAGTAAGCCCGTTATGTTTAGCATCGAATAGATCAAATAAATGAAAATACAAACCAAGTGCAGGTTGAACTAAAAATCATATATTGGAAACAGAATAGATTGGAATGAAGTAATACTCACTCCATCTGCAGAACGATTAATCCACTTGGGATTTAAGATTAATCCACTTGAGAATTAAGACAAGTATATTGAAAATACAAACTTTACCCAGATTTGTTTTTAGCTTTCTTGAAGCAAAAGCAACCCTAATTGATTAGTAAAATCCAATTGGGATTTAAGATTAATCCACTCGAGAATTAAGACAAGTATATGTATAATATTATCTGCGATCTTATTTTCCTAATCAAGGATTATCAGTTCAACAAATCCAAACATGAAAATATAGGTTTTGTCTGCAAGTAAATAAGATAAACCCCAGTTGATTAATAAAATCCAATTGGGATTTAAGATTAATCCGCTTGAGAATTAAGACAAGTATATGTCATAATCACATGAAATAATTGTTTATAATTCAGCCTTTCATGAATGCTCAAGGTTTATGGATTTGAATCACCCACTCATACTCACTTGACAAAACATCATTAAAAAAAGAAATGACATAAAATTAATTATTATGATAGAACTTGTAAATATATAAATAAAAAATGTTCGAGAACCAGAATGAAAAGATTAAAACAATTGAGTTACTAACGAGTAATTTGTTCTTACAAATGTAGTTGTTATTATTTTAAATTTATTAAAATCGTTAATTTTTTTTTATAAAAATAGAGCCGGTCTACCTGCTCCAATCATCTACTCCAACACTGTCAATTCTATCTTCCCTCGCTGTTTATAAATCATCTCTTCTCAGTAGTTTTCTTCAAATCATTATTGGTAATTCCCTTCTTTCCCCCTTTAGTTTACAAACATCAAAACAGAACAACTTATCCATCTCTCCACTATTACTTTCTGCAGTTTCACGTTTTGGAAACGGCTACACTGCAGTGGCTGCACCCGGCTGTGGTAATTCCTTTTCCCCTTTCTCCCTAAACCCATTGGGTTTAATTTCTTTACTCTGTTGCTTTATGGGTTTTAAGAAATTTGGTTGAATAATCCAAATATTTGTGCTTTATTAGTTTACTTGAGGATCTATGTGATTTTCAGCATTGGAGAATGGAGATTCTTTGTTTTCTGGTTTACCTAGAAAAAATTACTCATAAAAAGTAAAATGCTACAAATTCCTATTAATCAATTATCTCGTAGTTATAAATGTGCAATCTTTTCTTTCTTTTTTGGCTATCTTGTGTTTAGCTAGTTAATTTGAGGGTAAAATATCTCATTTTATGGGTAAGATCGATCAAGGTTCATTTTGTTGGTAGATCTTGAGAAGATCATGATGTTGGAATTTGAGTGCGTAGGTATATGATTTGGACTACTAATACACTATCTCTTCTTGCGGAAAAGTAGAATTGTTTTACATGGGATTATACTTCCGAAAATAATAGCAATAGATGACCCGAAACAAGTAACCATGTTGCTCCACTGAAAGTTCTTGTACTAGACAATTCTTGCTCTACTCAGCTCGTGCTCGGAACACTTTCTGTTTGGAACAGCTTGTGTTTATGACAAATGATTGCTCAGAACAGTCTTTGTTAAGAATATCTCCTTTGAGTCAGTCACACATCACTTTCATGGAAAAGCAGCTTATGAAAAAACATCAAGAGAAGATGTTTTTCATTATCACCTTCCCCTTTTTACCAAATAATTCTTCATATAGTGCGTCTATTGTCGTCATTGGTTTCGAATAAGTCTTTTTAAACAATTCTAGGGAGAAAAAACGAATAAATATTCATACCTTTGTTTGAGTACTTGGATCTTTATAGAATAGTTGACACATTCCTAATATAAGAGAAGATGTGGTCAACTATTAGCACTCGTCGGAAGTTGGATTCTTGGTTGCATTTTAATTAAATACGATGATGCACAATCAACTCCTAGTATAGAAGTATAATTTGGTATTGTACGAGGATGTAGTTCTATTTCCTTATGTCACATTGATTGTGAGATCTAGAGGTTAATTTACTCGGATTCGGGTGTGAGTCTAAGATAAGATGATGTATATATATTCAACTTTATTTAAGTTTCTTCATGTATTTGAAGGTTCTTTGGCAGGTCATATTTCTATTCCCAGTTTATAGAGGTTCCTTCATTTTTGAAGCATGTTTGAGGCGAACAATGAATTTTGATGCCTTAGTGTTTGTTTAGGATGAAGAAACTAATTAAAATGATTGCTAAATATATTTGATCTTCCGGCTGCTTGTTATCTCTTCAGTCACTGAAACATAATAGGTAATAGAAAATGTTATGGTTATGTAACAGGGACAATGACGGAGGCTGTTGGGGAAGGAATACCAACAGGAGACAAACTCGTATTGAGGGGCTTGAAATTTCATGGTTACCATGGGGTAAAGCCGGAAGAGAAAACACTGGGTCAGAAGTTCGTGATTGATGTAGATGCCTGGATGGATCTTCGGAAGGCCGGTAAATCAGACGACTTATCCGTCACCCTTAGTTACACCGCTATTTACCGGTGAGTAACTTGAAGATGTTTAAAACATTGGATGAATTATTTAGCTAGTTTTTTTTGGTAATTTCATTCCCCCCCCCCCCCAACATATGCAATAGCATAGTGAAGGAAGTAGTGGAAGGACAATCTCAGAATCTTCTGGAATCAGTGGCTCAAAAGATTACATCAAAGATCTTCACAAATCACCCTCAGATATCTGCTGTTCGTGTGCAAGTTCAGAAGCCTCATGTTGCTGTTCAGGGTTCTATCGACTACCTTGGAGTTGAGATTATCAGATATAGGAGCATTGATGCTCCTAACTAATCTTCGACATATACATCTACATGCATACATGTATGAATGTATGTATGTATGTATGAATGTTTCATCTTCTGGAAACTCACATGCGTGTGGGAACGGATCAACTTCATCTATGCCCGGTATTGCCCGAACGGTTTTAGTTGTTTTTTGTGTTTTATGTATTGCGTGGTGGAATGTGTCCAAGTTGCCAACTCTATCATCATATAGTCTCTTCGTAATAAAACTTAAAGTTTAATGTTCATTTTATAACTTTTGAAAGTTCAATGTCTAAAATGTCATTTCGGCATAATTAGTGACCATTTGTGTATTTATCCAATTATTATTTATATATGATAAAGCTTAATTTTTATTTAAAATAATCATAAATATTAATAGAAAATTATGTTAACGTGTAAACAGATGAAAAAAGAGTTAACTATTATATTTAAGTAAAATTCAAATATAATTTGAGTATGGTAGAGGGACCGAAGTCATAATTTAACCTAAATACTTCAACTAAAAGCTTTACCATCACAAAATTCCAACCGTCAATCAGAATGTCGGTCAACAATCATGGTCGGTGACCACTGATACCAGACTGGTGGTGAGCTGCACATTATCAGAACCTATTTAAACATGCAAAATTTAGAAACCATTCTAACTGAAAAACCTGCCCTTTTTTCTTTTCTTTCCTTTGTTTTCTCTCTCTTTTGAATGGAGAAAGAAAAAAATGCAGAAAAATCAACTTCTTTTTCTTTTATTATTTATATTAATAAAGAATACATTATTTTTCCACTGTTTGTGTTTTCAAATTAATGTTTTGACGTAGAATTTGTCGATTCTGATCGTTTATATGCATTGGGTTATTGGAGATTCAAATCCTTTTTATTAATGATCATTGATTATTCAGGGACATGTATTCTTTCTTATGATCATTGACCATTATGGAGAATTTTTAGAATAATGGAAAGCCCAAAAAGGATCCCAATTTTTTTTAATGGAATTGCTTTAGATTAGAGGGATAGTTCTTCTATTAGATTCATTACATTCATCATTGAATCATTGGTGCTTGTTGAAATGTCTACGTGAAGATATAGGGGTGGTTTTGATTGGCTGAAGCTCCATTTTTGTTATTTATGTTATTTTGCTCCAAAAAAAGAACCCTTTTAAGGAGATAAGAAATGGGATTATAGTTCATGGCTGAATTCAGATATTCATGAATGGTTAAAGAAAGAAAAAGTGTGAGAATTTAGGAGTTTAAATGGGAAATACCTGTGCCAAATCAGCGGAGGAAGCCGAAAATGATGAGAAAAAACATGATGGCGATGGCAATGAAGGTGAAACTAAAGATCAGGATCAGGCTGAAAGTAAAGAATCCGACATGGTTCAAAAACAACCTCCGGAAGAAATGAAGATGGAACAACGATCGAGATCCATTGAAACAACCCAAAGGCAACAATCGAAAGCCAGTGAAGCAATACAAAGACAGCAATCGAATGTCCATGAAACAACACAAAGACAACAATCGAAATCTCACCCGAAAAGACTTAACTCCAGGCCATCTCAACTTGCAGCATTTAATGAGAGTAAAACTGAGGGTCGGAAAACCAGAAAGGCTCATAATGTGAAGAGGCAATCATGTGCAGGGCTGAAGGTTGATTCAGTTTTGCAAACCAAAACAGGCCATTTGAAAGAATACTACAGCTTGGGGAGGAAGTTGGGTCAAGGACAGTTCGGAACAACTTTCCTTTGCCTCGAGAAAGGTACCAGGAAACAATTTGCTTGTAAATCGATTGCAAAAAGGAAGCTTACGACTCTTGATGATGTCGATGATGTGAGGAGAGAAATTCAGATAATGCATCACTTGTCAGGGCACCCTAATGTTATATCCATCAAAGGGTCTTATGAGGATTCCTTGGCGGTTCATGTTGTGATGGAGTTGTGTGCAGGGGGTGAACTCTTTGATAGGATTGTAAAGAGAGGGCATTATAGTGAAAGAAAGGCAGCTGAGCTAGCAAGGATTGTTGTTTCTGTCGTTGAAGCTTGCCATGCCATGGGAGTAATGCACAGGGATCTCAAGCCTGAAAATTTCCTTTTTGTGAATGAACAGGAGGATTCACCTCTTAAAGCCATCGATTTCGGATTATCGATATTCTTCAAGCCTGGTATGTTCAAAATGGTTCTTTTTTATCGCTTCTTATTTCTATTTAAAATGAACTTTTAGCCCACTGTTGTAGAAAACTTCGATGTTCCTGAGATAGTAATTCATTTCATTTATAGGAATAAAGAGTTTAGAGATTTTTCCACAACGTTTTGAAATCACCAATGTATTGTTTACTCAAAGTAGGTCATGTAATCTTTTAGGGGACATCTTAACTGATGTTGTCGGAAGCCCGTATTATGTCGCACCCGAGGTATTGCAAAAGCATTATGGTCCGGAAGCGGATGTGTGGAGCGCTGGGGTAATCACTTACATTCTCTTAAGTGGGGTGCCTCCATTTTGGGGTGGTAAGTGTTTATCAGATACAATTTATGTTATTATTTGCGTTGCTGTTGAAATCTTTAAGTTTTTAAAGCGATCTTGTTATGAACATTTGGTCTATTTCTTGTTATTTTGATATAGAAACTGAACAAGAAATATTTAATGAGGTTTTGAATGGTGAGCTTGACTTCTCATCTGATCCCTGGCCTAATATCTCTGAAAGTGCTAAAGAATTAGTGAGGAGAATGCTCGACAGAGACACAAAGAGGCGGATAACAGCTCACGAAGTACTACGTAAGTCTCGTTATAACTTAGATGTCGATAAATGATCTGAAGCTTGTTTAAACTTTGAATTCTCAGCTGCTGTCTTTTTCTGATCCTTTCATGCGGTTAATTGAGCTATTATCAGGCCAAAAACTCATCCGAGTTCTCGCGACTAATGGATTAAACTTGCAGAATTAATTTAATTTGATACTTGATAACTTGCAGGCCACCCTTGGGTTCAAGTTGATGGGGTGGCACCAGACAAGCCACTTGATTCTGTTGTCTTAAGCCGCCTGAAGCAATTTTCTGCAATGGATAAGCTCAAGAAAATGGCCGTAAGAGTAAGTATCTGCCGTTTACAATGACCCGTACAGCTTCAGGAAAGATGACTTTTGAAATTGAAACTCATTTTCAATGCAGAAATCCCACGTTTAAATGATACTTATTTGGTTAAAATCTCCATTATTTCGTTGTTTCTTTTAAGGTCATTGCCCAAAGACTTTCGGAAGAAGAAATAGCTGGGTTGAAAGAAATGTTCAAGATGATCGACACTGATGGTAGCGGTCAAATCACCTATGATGAACTCAAAAATGGATTGAAAAGATTTGGTGCTAATCTTGCAGAATCCGAGTTCCGTGCTCTAATGCAGGCCGTAAGTTACTCCGACTCTGCTCAGTGTCCAACCTGAGTCCGAGTAAAATCGACAGATATCTTGATACCAGAATGATACCAATTTGACATGATTGTCTTTTGCTTATTTGGGAATCTCAGGCAGACATTAATAACAGTGGTACAATTGATTACGAAGAGTTTGTAGCTGCAACATTGCATCTAAACAAGATTGAGAGGGAAGACAATCTATTAGCAGCCTTCTCGTATTTCGACAGAGATGGCAGTGGCTGCATCACTCCGGAAGAGCTTCAAAAAGCTTGTCAAGAGTTCGGTATCAAAGAGCTCCGCCTCGATGAAATCATGAAAGAAGTCGATGCAGACAGTGTAAACATCTCGAATCCATTTCCGACATGCATATGCAAACTTGTGTGTTTCGGATCAACTTAAACTACAGGTGAACAAATTATCCTGTTTTTTTTTTCTTTTTCCACAGGATGGTCGGATTGATTACAATGAATTTGTAGCCATGATGCTTCCTAAAGTTGGTAAGAAAGGTACATAATAGATATTTTGGCAAAAGATATATATAGTATTTTCCTAGGGCATTTTATTTAGTTTTCATTCCAACCTTTCAATTTAGCTCTTCAAAGTTTGAGGATCATCTCCACACACAAAAAAAAAAAAGTTCCATTAATATTGTGCTTGAAATTTGTTGCATACACATTTATGCTTGCATGTATTGATTAACACTTTTGTAATTAATGAAATTTGAACTTTAAGAACTAGTAAAAATACATTTATGTTTTTCACAATTTATTTCTATACATTTTTGCTGCCTTTTGTTTTACTTTGGTTGAGATTACCTAAAATACTTTTTATCCAATTTGTCATTTTCATAATTATTCTTCTCAATAAATTAATTTTTTACTATAAAATTAAATTTTAATAAATGTCCAAACTATACTTCTTGTTCTATTAGGTGTCTAAGTTTTTCTTCTTATTTTTTGGTAAAAGTAAGTCTAATATTTTTTTCGTTATCATTTAAAGTGTTTGTCCTTTAACGACCGTTTAAAAAATTATCAATCACTCAAAATATGACAGTGAGGTGTTTATAAATTTTTAAATTTTTTATTTAAAAAGCTTAAAACTATTTTTTTAAAAAAAACTTAAATTTCTCTAAAATCTAAACAAATTAATCCCAAAGCATCAACTTTGACATCGGCCACCCCTACTAATTTTGACGATCGTCTATCTACCATATCGGACTTCCAATGGTGATTATTTTTAGGGGTGTTAAAAAATATCCGACCTAATTGGTCCGACCCGTTGACTTGCCAACTTGAACTAAAAAAATCGGATAATTTTCTAAAAAAAACATACCCAACCAGGTCGCGTACCTGACCCGACATTTCCTGGGTTGGGCCCATGTTACAGAACTTAATTTTTTTCGGGTACCGGTTACCCGAGTACCCGGTTATAGAATTGGCTTTTTATGATGTGAATAACTTTCTTTTATTAGATTGAATTTGAAATTGAATCTTTGAATCCAGCCGTGGAAAAGAATTTGTGCTTTTGGGATTGGAAATGAAATTGGTGTTCGTTTTTTTTCAATAATAGAGATTACATCAACTTGGATGCTTAGTGAGCATGAATCAAACTAGTATGTTTTTCCTAGAGAATCGACTCAATTTGTTCTGGGGAGATTAGGATACCATACCACCGAAAGAGTCATTGATTTGGCCCATTTTAACCATTTCATTTTGCTAATCGATTGCCTTCACAAACCACATAAACAAAACTCATCATCCAATTTAAAAAACCAGTAGCCAAATGTGTTGCAGCAAAATTGAAAAACAGAAACTCGCAGCATTCCCATGTTTTTGCGGCAAATCTAACGAAGTTAAATTGTCCAGCACCACCACTATACGCCGGAGAGTGATAGTGTCGGTTTAGTGTATGTCGAGATCTATTCGAATGGTCCGAGGATCATTTAAATTTGTGTATGTTTTTTTAATTAATAAATTAAAAATGATAAAAAAAACCATAACAACTGGATCGGGACACAGATCGACCAAACTACTACCCGAAGACCCGAATACCAGATTTGAACACCCCTAATTATTCCCTTAACGTCACCCCTAATCTCTTAAATTTTTAAATCTCATTAAACATTAAGTCCCTATGACTTCAATCTTTACTCTCTAATTCCTTCCCCTCCATTCACCTTTTTATCCCTTATCATCACCGACGACGAGATTTCGAGAGAAGGCTGTTTTGCCTTTGTTTTAATACTCCTAATTCCTTACCGTGAAAAAAAGAAGATTTAGCTTTAAAAGGAATTCCTCTCTTACAATTAAAGAAAGAATTGTTTTGATAGGAGATGACCGTGAAATGATGGATGCTATTTGTAGCTTAAGAAATAAAGCTTAGATATCTAAACTCAATCAAAGAATGAACTTGCTTAGATATCAAGACAGCAGAAGACAATGGCTCGGTCGATAACTGAGGCTGAATACCTTAACATTGCTGATACGATATCTGAAGTAGTTTGGGTCAAGTCCTTGCTGATAGATATGGGTGAGTTGGTGTCTACAACTCTGGTTGTGTGGAGTGACAACACGAGTGCCATTGCGATGAGTGCTAATCTAGTATTTCATGCTCGTTATAAGCATATCAAATTGGATCTGCATTTTGTGCGAGAAAAAGTGGCTTGTGGAGCTGTTCAGGTGAATTATGTACCTGCATAACACCAAGTAGCAGACGGGCTGACTAAACCCTTGCTGAAGTCTGCTCATGTTTTGTTTTGACAGAAAGTTCAAGTTGCTGAAGCTGAAAAGGAGATAGCTGAGAGGGACGGAGAGAATGTTGAAGTATGGTAATGTAGTTGCGTGCATGTTGAGCAAGTTAGTTAGGCAGTCGGTTATAAGGCTGCTAGAGTTGTTATGCTGATATTCATGCAGTTAGAACGTTCATGCAGTTGTTAGAACCCTTATTACTTGTATATATATATATATACTGTAATAGCTCTTAAATGAAAAGCAAGTTTGATGAATCTCCAAAACCTATTACGTGTGTAGTTTACTCGTATGTATAACAAAAACAAAGATTTAGAAGATTGGGACAACATAAAGAGGATGATCAATAATGAGACTTGATGAAGAGTGAATAGATACGATAGCAATAATGACAAGAGTGGACAATAATGGAGTTAATTTTAAATTTTGAGTTTTAACATGTTTATTGTTAAACTAAATTCAAAAAAATTTGAGTAACTTATGATAATTTCATTATTATTTTTAACTTGCAAGTCAAACTCTCATATAAAAACTCAAACTTAAATTAAATTCACAATATCCCAATCAAATAATTTTAATTATATTAAAATTTAAATGTTTAGATAATATGTTTAAAAATAATATTAGAGATATAATAAGCCCATTAATTTTCTTGAATAATAGCAGATTATTAATAAAATATTAAAGCATTATTTAAACACCATTCAAATATTAAATTAATATAAAATAAATTTATAAATAAAATAATTAAATATTTAATTAAAAATATGTAACAAATAGTTTAATATAAAAAAACTCATTATTTCAAGATAATATTTATCAATCTAACATAAACTGATATATATCTAAGAAAATGATGAGAATGTTCAACTAATAAAATAGTGTTGTTTGTATCTACTAGGAATCACTCCAAATGGAACATAAAATTAAAAATTAAAAAAATATTCTAATTAATATACTTTTTATTAAATTAAAGTAATTGTAAAATAATATATATTCTACTTACTCTAAATTATTTGATAATTAATATTCAATTACTTTACTAAATTAATGGGAGCATTCTTATTAACATTTTTGCTCTAAAGAAATAGCATTGGGTTTGACCAGTGATATATATTACATTGTTTTGTTCTTTTGGATGTGCTTCCGATTGAATTATGTTTCTCCATTTCCCCTGTTGTAATCCGATGTGAATAAGATGATCCCACTTTAAAGAGAAAGTTATTTGACCATCTTTTTATAGCTGAGAATTAAAGAAAACACGTTCATGGCTTCAAAAACGCTCGTCATTTTGTACCTCGAGAACTTCTTCATTTTTCTAATCTACGGTATGTTTAATGGCGTGTGGGTCTTTCTCTCTTTGAGAAGGACTCCGCCAAAACCCAGTACCATGGAACTTCTCCCACATCTCTTCTTCAAGCTTAAACAAAGCTTCATCGTCTTCCTCCGAAACCTTCATACCCAATAAAATATCTTTAACACAAATCATGGAACCATCACTCAATTCGCCCTCTTCACATCTACAGCCGTTCCTCGTTTGAAACAGCCCTTTCTTCCGCCGCCTTTTCAGGCGGAAAGCACGGCGGCACAGCCCTGCCGGGACTTTATAAATCACTAGGACCAGAAGGTTTGCTATCCCGCAAGGGCAACAACAGCAAACAGCCACGCACTCGGCCGTCGTCCCCCCACAAAATTCCCCCAAGTTCGCACTCTTCGTCGGACTGCTTCTATGGCTTCCATCGTCAACGCCGGAGAAAGACGTGGGATGGCTTTGCAGAATCGGCTGGGGCCGGTAGACGGTACCGGTCGGGGTCCTGAGGATTATCCGATGAGACATTAAATAAAAGGGTATTTTTGATTCGCTATTGGTCTGTTCCTTGTCCAATGAAGATGTTTTCAACAGAATCCAAACGGTGAAACACAGATAAAAAACAAATGAACAGAAATGGGTAACAAAAATCAGAAACAGAGAGAGAGCAGAATTTTAGAGGAAATGGATGTTGCTTTGACTTGTTTGGCGCTCTTACTTAGGGTTACCACTTACCATGAAAGAAACTAAACCAAACCACAGGGGTTTGAGAAAGAAGAGTGGAAATGTGAAGCTTTGGATTCTCTTCTTATTATAACTCCAACGTTTTGGCCTTTTGGGTGTTTCTAGAGGTTTGTTCCCCCAACTGATTTGTGCGTAGATTACGACTCACCCTTTTTATATCTAAAATTTAAATTCACTACCGTAAATCTTATATATATTTTTTTTTTAAAATTAAATATTTAAATTTATTATTTATAAAAGTGAGGTTAGTTCCGATAATAAAATATTCATATTAATTCACAAATTAAGTAATTTTCGTAGTAAATGAATTGTTGTTATTCTTTGATGATTCAAGATCAAACATTATAAATGCAAGGGATGTGAACGTTTAATGTCAAAAGTTAATAATTATCTTTAAACAGATATTGCATTGTATTTATCTCAGAGTAATAAAAACAATTCATATTAAAATATGTATAAACATAAATTAAATTTAAATAATAAAGAAAATGTCAATATGATTAAATAAGAAATGATAAAAGTGTCTGACTTATAGTAATAACTTTAGGTTTAATATAAAAAAAAGCTCATAAATTAGCTGACACTTTTTTTCATATGTAATGGGGTAAGGGGGAGATATGATAGTAGGTTGTTTCTAACGTCAGGTTGAAAGCAGCTTCCGTGGGAGACCTCCGAATTATGAAATACTCTCCGTGGGACTCGATCCTACAACCACAAGGTTAAAAGCTCATAAATCATATATATATTTTCATTTAGATGTGTTTATGTTTTTTAGTCATAATAGGTGTTTACCGTTTTTATTTTAAGAACATGATTTGTCATAATTGTTCAAAAAAATCTGTCACGCAAAATTCGTCATAAGATGTGTTTATAAATTTTTAAAAACTCATTTAAAAAAATAAAATTATTATTATTTAAAAACTTATAGTTTATCTAAAATCTAAAACAATCACAAAATCAGTAATCCCAACACATTATCCCCACTTCTCAACCGTCTACTCATCCATTGTTGGTTGATTATCTCCTTGTCATAGTCTCAATATCTAAAATCCCAAAATCCAAACCTTTAAATTCAAATCCTAAACCCTTAAATCCTAATCGAATTGCATGATACCGATGAGTGAGTGGATGATCGACCACGGTAATAGTGGCCAGCAACAAAATTGATTTTGGGATTAACAATTTTAGAGATACTTTGAAGTGTTTTATGAAATACTGAAGTATTTTTTTAAGATTTATGAATTTTATTTTTTAAAGGGTAAAGTATACAAATTGTCCTTAATTATAAGATATTATTTTATTAAGTTCTTCGATTATTAAAAGTTAAAGAATAGTCATCTGATTATAGGGAGTTACTTTGTTTATTTCACTGACTATTAAAAGTTATAAATGGTCACCCGACTATTTATCACGTTCCAAACTCGTCATTTTCGTTAAAAATTTGATGATAGTCTAAGCTGTACGTTGATCTACTGATCGAGTTATGATAAAATATGATCTCATAATCTCAAACGACTATCACACATTAAACATGTTAACGTTCAGCTCAGATGAACGTTAATTTTTTAACGGAAATGACGAGTTTGGAACATAATGAATGGTCGAGTAATCATTTTGTAACGTTTAATAGTCGAGTGACTCAATAAAGCAACTATTTATAATCAGATGGTCATTTTATAACTTTTAATAATCAATATACCCAATAAATTGTCAGGGTATCATTTGTCTTCTTGACACTTTCTAAAAAAAAGTAATGAAGATTAAAAATTAAACCAAGCGTAAAACATTGATTAGTTGAATGATTTTAAACAAAAAATTTTAATGTCCGTAATGAACAAAACACTTAAAATGATAACGTCGAAAATATTAAACACCTACATAGATAAAAATGTTAAACATTTAAATGAGAAAAAGAGATATAAGAATATTTTTTAATATTAAATAATAAATTTATACGATATTAATTTACTAACGTCCCATTGAAAAATAATTAATTAAAAGATTTAACATGTGATGTGAACTTATATAAAAGTGAGCATGCCATGCCACCAAAGTTTTTCCAATCCACTAAAATGAGTTTTTATTATAAGATCTTCTAGAAATTTAATATTGGGATTTAAATATTTATTAATTAAAGGAAAGTGTAAATTTCCATATTGTCTTGGGGTTTAGTCCACTAGCCGCCCTATTTGATTTACTAATAAATAATTTGGTAAATTTAGATTAAACCATTTTCTAATACATTCATATGAAAGAGAAGTCGTGGATTTCCGACCAACAAATCCGGTTGACACAAAAAAAAATTAAACTGCTAATTTAATCGATTTATATAATACAAATTAAAAATAATTGTATTAGACGCATAATTGTTGCGATTTAATTAATTAATTAATAAAAATAAGAATTGTGTAACTATGTTAAAGATGAAGGATCGAATGTCCGTTTTGTTATTTACTCCCTTTAGGTGGAAGTTGGGGAAAGCCAATGATGAAACGAGTTTTGCATCCCCCTATGCCTATTCATTATTTCCAAACACGACATCGTGACACGTCATTTACGTATTAGGTCAAGATGATGAAGTTACTCGCGCTCTTCGCGTTTGGTACACGTACCGCCTCCCTAGTGGTGGGTCCCATCAGGGATGAAAAAAATTCAAATTATAGATTTTAGTATCCCATAGGTGTATAAGGTCTACCATGCATTCATGATATATGCGAATAGAAATTATCAAATATCTATTATTATTTAAATTCACATTTTACATATAAACGCACCAATCAAGCAGTCTTTATGATAAATTAATTGGTGATATTCATCGAAGACTCGAACTCGAACATTATAGATATCAGAGATGTGAGTATTTGATATAAAAAAAATTGAGAGTTATATTTGAACATATATTATCTTATACTTAAATTATTAAAAATATTTAAATAATTAAAATAAAATATCAAATAAATAGTTTAACCATTTTTATTATATCCAGCAGGAGGTATTCTTAAAATGAAAAGAGAACTAAATTTGATAAGAAATACTTGTAGGTTCAAATGCCTAATTGCTGCCAAACCCACCAAAAAGCAGGCAAAGATGCCAATCGACATTGTGCAATTTCAAACACACAAAGTGGATTGCTATACATTAGAATATTGGGTAAACTATCCATTTAATACTTGAACTATCAATTTTGGTCTATTTTAATAAATAAACTTTTAATTTTTTAAAAACCATACATTCCGTTTAATTTTCATTTCATTTTAGTACCCGTCATTAAAAACTTAAAGCATTTAATACATAAACTATCATTTTTTGTATGTTTTAATACCTAAACTTTTTTAAAAAAAATCAAAATTAACGTTAAATTTTGCACGAGATACTGAAATAAAACAAAAACCAAAAACAACGGGACCTGAAATGAAATAAAAATTAAATTTTAGGTATGATTTTAAAAAAATTAAAAGTTTAGATACTAAAATATATCAAAATTGATATATTTAATACTAAATGCATAATTTACCCTAGAATATTAGCATCTACTTCAATTTTAGTTAGGCTTAAATATACAAAAGATGTCCAACCTATGCCCTTTTTTCAGTTTAATGCCTAACATTTATTTCATTCCAATTTGGTGCATAACATTTCATTTCGTTATTCATTTGGTGCCCAGACCATCAACATCGTTAATTTCCACTTTAAGTGACACGTGTCACAATCTGCTAATTTTAAAAATTTTATTTAAAATTAAAAAATTAAAATTATATATATATTTTAAAAAGAAAACACAAATATTGAAATAAACTCAAAACTTTGAAAACCTTCATTTCAACCCATAAAACCACGCCAGTCTCCGCCTTTTGTCGTCGACGAAGCTCTACCCGACCTCCCTTCCACTTGGTGACCAAAACCCCCATGAAATCATGATCGATCGATGGCCGATCAATGACGAATCAACGTTTTATACTCTGTAAACCCTAGGACTCACGATCCCACGCGATTTCGACGACCGATCGACCGTTGATCGGTTATGAATACATGGAGGTTTTGGTCTCCGAGGGGAGGGGAGGTCGAATGGAGCTTCTTCGACGGCAAAAGTTGACGACCGGAGTGAGTTTAGGGATTGAAATGAAGGTTTTCAAAGTTTTAGGTTTATTTCAAAATTTGTTTTTTTAAGAAATATTTAATTTTAATTTTTTAATTTTAAATATATTTTTTAAAATTAACAGATTATGGTACTTGTAATTTAACGACCAAACTTAATGGTCTGTCACGGCTTAACCCATTTTGAGTAACAGAATGAAGCGTTAGACACTAAACTAGAACGAAATAAACATTAAGCACTAAACTAGAAATAGAGGTATAGATTAGACACCTTTTGTATATTTAAGCCTTTTAGTTATTGCAGAACTAACACTGGTTTTTGTCAGATTCTTACATTTCAACGAAGAAAGTATCAAATTTTGGCATCAAGCCTTCATCACGTGGACACCGCCACCATCCGTCACAAAAACCCAACTTGGGGTTCATCGCCTCTTCACTCACCGCCACTCAAACTCCCTGGAACATTTCATTAACCCACTTCAAAATTCTCTATACTCATTTCCCCTAATCCCAAAACTCACTACTTGATACCTTCAAAAGCTACATTCTCAAGCTTCTGGTCTTTAATGGTGGGAAAGTGGTAAACTTTAATCATTTCAGCTGATTTCAAACCCTTTATTTCCTTGGAACAGAGGTCTAGAAACATGAACTTAGGCTGTTATCAAACCATTCAGTTCCCTACAAAAGAA